CCCGGCCTCTGCCTCGACCTCTAGCAACATGGGAAGCAGCTCCTCCCGGGTCTGGAATATTCGCCGTACGTGTCCTCACCATCTGTGAGAGAATAGAAGAAGGAAATCTAGTATACAATCAACTACACGATAGAAGGTGAATAAAGAGTAGTTTTCTAACACCCTATAGCCTCCCGAAGATAAGTACAGATGTCTCCGTACCGATCCGCAAGACTCTATTAAGCTTGCCCATGACTTGTGAGACCTACGTGAACCTAGTGCTCTGATACCATGTTGTCAAGACCCAAATTCCACATTAGGCCGTGATGGCGCCAACACCGTTGTTAGGCAAGCCAACACTAATCGACTAGTGAATCCTCATTAAAATAATTAATACGTGGAAACCCTTCCTTATTATTAAAGAACTAGGAGTTTGAGACTTAAGCATAACTCGATGAAAGTAATAATCACGAAATTTAAATCATGATAGAAATCAAAAATACAAAGTCTACCAATGTGTGTGCCAAGACCTGGTGTCACAAGTATAAGGCAATCTAGTAGAGTATACAAAACCATACTATCCTACTGTCTGGGAAGGAAATAGACAGGAAAAGTAAAGAAATAGAAAGACTCCAGCTGCTGCAGAACGGCTCAGAAGGGCAGCTCACCAGAAGTCTCAAGCCGAAGAGTCCACTCAACGCGCCAGACTGTGGCCAGATGCACCTGCCTCAAAGCCTGCACAATCAAGTGCAGAAGCGTAGTATGAGTACGTAAACAATATGCACCCAGTAAATATCCCGTCTAACCTCGAAGAAGTAGTGACGAGGGGTCGACTTGACACTTACTAGGGTCAATAAATATAATAATATGAGGTTCGATATTCTAATACACAATGTACTTAGATAGCAACAAGTGAAAACAAGAATAATACTAAAATCCTGTCATCGAATCAATAAATCTAGGCATTTCCCTCATTTAAAACAAGTGGCCGTTTATGCAATCAATCATACAAATTATAAGAGGTTTCGATTCCATTATCACACACAAATACCACCGAGGACGTTCGGCCTGATCCAATATAAAAGTAAATTGTGCACTGTCGAGGGTCGAACGGCCCGAACCATATATATACAATTATCAACCTGCCGAGGCGAACGGCCCGCTCCCACGAGAGTAGTGGAAGTAATCACCCCGCTTGCGGAATATACTTGCGATGAAGTTAAGTATAAATACAACTTAAATGGTTCCTTAATTTTCATAATAATTATTTACTTGAAATCCTTGAAATCATGACATTCTCAACGAAGTTCAGTCAATGCAATTCTACAATTTATAATCATATAACAGTACCCATAAAGCACGGTGTAAGCCTAGAACTACCCGGTCATAACAGGAATAATAGCTACATACAGACTCTTGTCACTTTGTGCGTACGTAGCCCCCATAATTAAATCACATATTAGTTAAGTTCACTTATGGGTAAATCTTCCTCTTACAAGGTTAGAAAAGAGACTTACCTCGTTTCGAGCCTACTTCCAACTCAAGAATGTGTCCAAGCTCTCAAACTGAAGCCGCACGTTCCGAAACTATTCAAATAGTGTAAAAGTCCATCATTATAGGTTCACAAATTCTAGCTATTAATGCGATTATCCAACCCCAAGGGCAAGGTTCCTAAAATTCAACCCCGGGCCCACGTGCCCGGATTCCGGAAATTTTCGAAGGAAGTTGTTACCCATAACCTAAGGATCAATAATATATAATTTTTACTTCATTCCATAACGAATTTCGTGGATAAATCACGTTTTTATCAAAACCCTAGGTTTTACTCTAATTCCATGATTTTCCACTAATCAATACATGTTAATCTACCCAAAATCCAAGTATTTAACTCACATAATGTAGGGATCACTTACCTCTAGGAGCTTGGTGAAATCTTCTCTAAAGAGCTCCAAAATCGCCCAATTTTTGAGTGGAAATGAGCCAAAAATGGCTAACACCCGTAATAAATGAAGGTCACTGCCTTTAGTGATTTTTGCATCTGCGGTCCTGGGCCGTACCTGCACCCACGGCATCTGCGAAAATGAGTCTGCTTCTTCTGAAATTGCCCTGGCCAGTTGGGCCTCTTCTGCGAGAAGCAATCCGCTTCTGCGGCTCCTGGGCTGGCCACCCATGGCCGCATCTGCGATCGCCTAGCCGCTTCTGCGAGCACGCACCTGCGGCTGGCCAACCGCAGGTGCGGTTACAGAAGCCTGAAGCTTCAGCCCTTTCCCACAAATCCAACTAAGCTTGAGCCTCGTTCAATTGACGCTCGGGGCCCCCGGGGCCACGCCCGAACATACCTACAAGTTCGAAATGATAAAACGGACTCGCTCGAACCCTCGTAATGCCGAAAAAATGCTAAATCTTAGAATCACCCCCTAACACCAATGGAATCAAACTTATGAACTTCAAGTTCTTCAATATACTTCCAATGTGACGAAACACACTTATACTACTCGGATTGACACCAAATTTTGCATGCAAGTCTTAAATGACATTACGGAGCTATTCCCGGTCTCGGAATTCCGTTCGGACCTTGATATCACAAAAACCCGCTCCAAACCAAATTTAAAGAATTTCTAAAAACCTTCAAGCACCAACTTTCACTATTATGCGCCGAAACGCTCCCGGGTTATCCAAAACCCGATCCGGACATACGCCTAAGTCCGAAATCATCATACGAACCTATTGGAACCTTCAAATCCCGATTCCAAGGTCGTTTACTCAAAATTTTGACTAAAGTCAAACTTGGCCTTTTAAGCCAACCTTAAGGAACCAAATGTTCCAATTTCAACCCAAACTCTTCCAGATCCCGAACCAACCATCCCCGCAAGTCATAAGTCAGTTAAATCAAGTAAGGGAAGTCTTATTTAGGGGAATGGGGTTCTAAAATACAAAACGACTAGTCGGGTCGTTACAGCCATCCAATGGCCATCTGAGCGTTTAATCATCAAGAAGGCTACTACGGTAAATCAGGTTGATGCTTTAAATACACTAATGCAACAAATTGTTTCTTTGGCACAAAAGTTTGAATCTTTTCAGGTGAATACACAACAACCAAGCCAATGTGAGACTTGTGACATGTGTGGAGAAAACCATCTGAACAATGAATGTCAAGCAAACAATCATAATGACGAGCAGGTCGATTCTGTCGGTTATAAACCGTACCCTTTTGGGAGTCCAATGGCACAAAAGCATCCAGGAATTCATCGGAGAAATGCAAATGGTGCAGAGAACTCTCAAAGCTTCCAGAAGAAACAAGTACAAGGTCCGTCAGGATACCAGAATCAAACCATGGGCAACAAAACTATAGACCTTATCAACAAGCAGGGCCATATCAGCAAAGGCCTCAACAAGCTCATTCAAGTCTTGACGACCATTTGTATAAGTACATTAAGATCACTAATGAAAAGATGGAAAGCCAAGGTGCATCCCTCAAAAATCTGGAAATATAATTAAGCCAACTGGCAACTCTTGTGTCAGAAAAGATTCAAGGTCCATTGCCAAGCAATATAGAGAAAAATCCAAAGGAGCACCTTAAGGCTATCGCCTTACGGTCAGGTAAGGAGCTTGATGAACCATATGTAGACCAGTCAGAACAACAAGTAAACAAGGGTAAGAATGTTGAAATACCCTCTGAACTATCTGAAGAGAAAGAAGTTAAGAAAAAAGAAGAAAACCAGGGTGCAACCCTCAAAAATCTGGAAATGCAATTAAGCCAACTGGCTACTCTTGTGTTAGAAAAGATTCAAGGTCCATTGCTAAGCAATATAGAGAAAAATCCAAAGGAGCACCTTAAGGCCATCGCCTTACGGTCAGGTAAGGAGCTTGATGAACCATATGTAGACCAGTCAGAACAACAAGTAAACAAGGGTAAGAATGTTGAAGTACCCTCTGAACTATCTGAAGAGAAAGAAGTCAAGAAAAAAGGAGAAAACAATATTGAAAAATTGACTCCTTTCCCTGTGACAATTCCTTTTCCACAAAAACCAAAATGAGAAAAGCTTGATAATCAATTTTCAAAGTTTTTGGAGATTTTAAAACAAATTCACATTAATATTCCTTTCACTGATGCTCTGTTGCAAATGCCTTCTTATGCCAAATTCCTAAAAGAAATTTTTTCAAGTAAAAGGAAATTGGAAGAAGTTTCTGTGGTGATTCTTACTGAAAAATGCAGTGGTATACTTCAAAATAAGCTACCACAAAAACTTGGTGATCCAGGTAGTTTTACAATTCCATGCACTTTGGGAGGAGTATATTTTGAAAAAGCACTTTGTGATTCTGGAGCTTCATTAACTTGATGCCATTTTCTATCTTTAGAATATTAAATCTTGGTGAAATGAAAAACATAGGTGTTTCTCTTCAGTTTGCAGATCAAAGTACTAAGAAACCTAAGGGAATAATTGAAAATGTGCTCGCAAGAGTAGATAAGTTTGTTTTCCCTATAGATTTTATAGTACTTGAAATGAAGGAATGTCCCGATGAACCAATTATTTTGGGTAGACTATTTCTTACCACAGGTAGAGCAATCATAGATGTCCATCAAGGACAACTAATTTTGAGAGTTGATGAAGATATAGTCATTTTTGATATGCAAAAGATATTAAGATTTTTAGGAGATGAATTCAAAGATGATCAATTAATTTCAGACTCAATGGAAAGATGTTTTGGCCAAATCTGGCACCATACAAGATGATTATCCTATCATCAAAAGAGAAGCTGAAATACTAAAAGAAGATTCTGAAGAGGAACAGATGCAACCAGAACAAGTTCAACCAAAATTTGAACTCAAAGTTCTCCCATCTCATTTAAAATATGTTTATCTTGAGGAAGAATTATTTCCAGTAATTATTTCATCTTCTCTTACTGCAGGACAAGAAGAAAAACTGATTGAAGTGTTGAAAGCACACAAAGGAGCCTTGGGATGAACTATAGAAGAGATCAAAGGGATTAATCCAGCTGTTTGTACGCACAGAATTCTCATGGAGGATAGCTACAAGCCAATAGTCCAGCCCCAAAGGAGATTGAATCCAGTAATGCAGGAAGTAGTAAAAAAGGAGATCGTAAAGCTTTTGGCGGCAGGTGTTATTTATCCCATTTCAGACAGCCCTTGGGTAAGCCCAGTTTAGGTAGTACCAAAGAAAGGAGGTATGACGGTAATAAAAAATGAAAGTAATGAACTTATACCTACCAGAACTGTCACAGGATGGAGAGTCTGTATTGGTTACAGACGTCTCAATGATGCCACTAGAAAAGATCATTACTTTACCATTTATTGATCAAATGTTAGAAAGAATTGCAGGATATAGTTTTTACTGTTTTCTTGATGGCTATTCAGGGTATAACCAAATACCAATTGCACCTGAAGATCAGGACAAAACAACTTTCACATATCCTCACGGAACGTATGCCTATAGGAGAATGCCATTTGGTCTATGCAACGCCCCTGCTACATTTCAGCGTTGCATGTCAGCAATTTTTTCTGACATGACTGAAAAATTTCTTGAAACTTGTGTGGATGATTTTACACTCTTTGGCAAAACATTTGAGGATTGTCTTCACCACTTGACCTTAGTTCTTAAGAGATGTGAAGAGACAAACTTGATTCTGGGAAAATGTCATTTTATGGTTACTGAGGGAATTGTTTTAGGACATAAAATCACTGCTAAAGGGGTAGAAGTTGATAAGGCTAAAATTGATCTTATAGAAGGATTACCCTCTCCCAAAACTGTTAAAGGCATTAGAAGCTTTCTAGGTCATGCAAGTTTTTACAGACGGTTCATAAAAGACTTTTCAAAGGTTTCAAAACCATCGACTACCTTTTGATGAAAGATATCAAGTTTGATTTTCCAGATGATTATTTGAAAGTATTTGAGAACCTTAAGAAAAAGTTATCAACCGCCCCTGTAGTTGTGTCCCCAGACTGGAATCAACCTTTTGAGGTCATGTGTGATGCTAGTGATACTGCAGCTGGAGCTGTTTTAGGCCAGAGAAAGGATAAGATCTTTCGTCCCATTTACTATGCTAGTAGAACAATGAATGAGGCTCAACTAAATTATGGCACAACAGAAAGAGAGTTACTAGCAATAGTATTTGCTTTTGATAAGTTTCGATCTTATTTGATAGGAACCAAGGTCACTGTTTTTACTGATCACAACAACAACAACAACATACCCAGTAAAATCCCACCAGTGGGGTCTGAGGAGAGTAGATTGTACGCAGACCTTACCCCTACCCCGAAAAGGGGCTGTTTTTACTAATCATGCAGCTTTAAATACCTCTTAGCAAAGAAACATGCTCGACCTAGATTGTTAAGATGAATTTTACTTCTACAAGAATTTGACCTTGAGATAAAAGACAAAAAAGGAATAGAGAATCAAGTAGCTGACCATTTATCTAGATTAGAAACTCTTCCCCCCCCCCCCCCCCCTTGAGCTATGCGAAATAAAGGAAGAATTTTCTGATGAACATATTTTCTCAGTTAACTCAATTGTGACTCAACCACCCTGGTTTGCAGATATTGCAAACTACTTGGTTAGAAAGTGGACACCCCAAGATCTCTCTTACCAGCAAAGAAAAAAGCTTATATCTGATGCAAAGTATTATTTGTGGAATGAACCTTACTTGTTTAAAAATTATGCAGATAATGTCATTAGAAGATGTGTACCTGAAGAAGAGGTGAACAAAATTTTATATCACTGTCATGATGGAGCAATTGGAGGTCATTATGCAGCAAACCAAACAACCTTTAAAGTTTTGGAAGCTGGATTTTTCTGGTCGACTCTCTTTAAAGATGCCCAAGAATATGTTGCACAATGTGACAGGTGTCAGAGAACAGGTAACATCACTATGAGAGATGAGATGCCATTGCAATCAATACAGGTATGTGAAATCTTTGATGTTTGGGGAATAGATTTCATGGGTCATTTTCCTTCTTCTCATTCCATTGAATATATCCTTGTGGCTGTGGATTATGTGTCAAGATGGATTGAAGCCATCCCCACAAGGAAAAATGATGCTCGAATTGTGTGCAATTTTCTCAAAAAAAATATTTTTACCAGATTTGGTACACCACGAGTCATCATTAGTGACCAAGGGACTCATTTTATGAATATACAATTTTCTGCTTTGCTGAGAAAATATGGTGTGACTCATAAAACAGGAACACCATATCATGCCCAAACTCAAGGGAAAGTTGAAGTTTCCAACCGTGAGTTTAAAAAGAATTCTTGAAAAAACGGTTGGAATCTCAAGTAAAGACTGGGCTTTAAAATTAGGTGATGCATTATGGGCATACCGAACGACGTTCAAAACGCCAATTGGAACATCCCCGTATAGATTAGTCTTTAGGAAAGCTTGTCATTTGCCAGTTGAATTAGAACACAAAGCTTTTTGGGCACTAAAAGCACTAAACTTTGAATTAGCCTCTGCTGGTAAAAAATAAATTTTTTCAGGTTAATGAGTTGGAAGAAATGAGGTTGGAAGCCTATGAAAATGCAAAACTTTTTAAAGAAAAAACAAAAAAAAATGGCATGACAATTTGATCCGACAAAAAAGTTTTAAAATTGGAGATCAAATGCTGCTTTACAATAGCCGACTCAGGCTATTCCCGAGAAAATTAAAATCAAGGTGGATAGGTCCTTACAATGTAACAAATGTTACTCCATATGGAGCAATTGAAATCCAACAAAACAATGAAGGTGACAAGTTTAAGGTAAATGGTCAAAGACTAAAATTGTACTTTGGAGGACATTTTGAGCAACATTCATCTGTCACTTTGATAGACTGATGAATTCCACAGGTAATAAGTCGAGCTGACAACGTTAAACTCAGAACTATAGTGACATACCCGTAGCCATTGAGGGTGAAGCAATGGAGCCTTATAAGTCCAACATAGGTTTGATAATTAAATGCTTAACCAATTAATCTGGTCAATATCCAGGTTACTATACAACCAGAGCATCTAATGAAGGCCTCTATAAAAACAGAGTCACCTACACAGGAGCAACTCCATGGTGATCGGTATGCTTAAGTAACTGGTTGGTTAATCGTTTAATGATTCGATTCGAATGTTGTCTCAGGTAATTTTTGGTTTATATTTAAACCAGGACCAAATGACTTATAAGGTCTTAAATTAGTCAGTCTATTACACATAGAACATGTGTAGTCACAGTTTCTTTCAAGCTTTCTTCTGTGATTGTAAATCTGAAAGCCAAAAAGTTGTTTTATTTTATATTATATACATTAGTATTAATTTTTTCTTTTCCTTAAATTAATACTTATATATGTATATCTATTATCACGTGTTTTATCCAAGAGGATGAAACAGTTCACGTGTGGAGGGAGTATATTCTGATGAATTTCTAGTATATGTTATACATGTATCTAGTTAGTGTGTGTGTATATATATATATATATATATATATATATATATATATATATATATAAAGTTCTATTTTCTTTATATATTTATATATAATTATTTTTCTGTCCTCTATCTTATTTGTAAGGTTTTAATTAACAAAATAAATTTTTTATTATATGTCCAATGATTAGTTCTTTTCATCTTCACCATGTAAATTCCATATATATGATTTAGATTTTGCGAAGGCAGGAGCAAGCGTCTTTATCTCAAAAAATTCATTGGAATTGAAAACAGGTAGAATCAATAAACTTGGCTAGAACTGTAACGACCCGGCCGGTCGTTTCATGAGTTACCGCTCCGTTTTCCCCCATTTCTGCTTCTTTATGTATTTTTCAGCTGTATTATGTGATATCGGATTGGTTGGTTTGGGTTCGGAATGGTTTGGTAGAGTATGAGACACTTAGTCTCTTAAGTGGGTCTTTTAGTTGGAAAAGTCAACCGGAAGTTGACTTGTGAGCAACGATCTCGAAATTTGGTTTTTATGATTCATATAGCTTTGTGAGGTAATTTGGGACTTAGGAGCATGATCAGAATGTGTTTTTGGAGGTCCGGGGTAGATTTAGGCTTGTATTGGCGAAATTGAATTTTGGCGTTTTCCGGTTGGTAGCGGAGATTTTGATATAGGGGTCGGAATGGAATTTCAGAAGTTGAAGTAGGTCTGTGGGTGTCATTATGGCGTGTGTGCAAATTTTCAGGTCATTCGGATGAGGTTTGATAGGCTTTTTGATCAAAAGCGGAATTCGGAAGTTTTTAGAATCCTTAGGCTTGAATCCGAGGGTGATTTGGTGTTCCTGCGTTGTTTTGAGTGTTTCGAGGGTTGGTACAAGTTTGAATAGTGTTATGTGACTTGTTCGTGCTTTTGGTTGAGGTCTCGGGGGCCTCGAGGTGATTTCGGATGGTTGACAGGAGGTTTGGAGTTGGAATTTACAGCTGAAGTGCTGAAACTCCTGTCATAACCACAACTGCGGCTTGAGGACCGCAGGTGCGGCCTCGCAGAAACGCCCAGAGGGTCGCAGATGCATGGGGAGCTGGAACCGCAGATTTGTTCGAGCGCACATGCGATAGTGCAGGTGCGGTATTATGATCGCAGGTGCGATCCTAGTGCGGTTAAGTGGTTTCTGCAGATGCGCACCTGGGACAGTAGGTGCGGGTCCGCAGGTGCGAGATTTGTACCGCAGAAGCGGTTTAGCTGGGGCAGAACATATATATTTGGCCCTTCGCGATTTTCAGCTCTTCTTCATCATTTTTAAATCGATTTTTGAGCTTTCTGGGAGATTTTGAAGAGGGAATTCAAGGGAACTTCGTTGAGGTAAGATGTTGAACCTAAAACTCGTTTCTATGGTGTTATTTCATGGATTAGGCTTGTAATTTATGGAAATTAGTGGTTGAAATTGAAGAACTAGGGCTTGAAATTGGAGACCTAAAATTACGGATTTGAGGGGTCATTGGTGGTTGGATTTTGCTAAATTTGGTACGTATGAACTCGTGGGAGGATAAGGATTCTATTGATGTTAAATTGTCGGATTCCGGGACGCGGGCCCGGGGGTCGGGTTTGGCCAATTTTGGGTTTCTTGATGCAATTTGATTACTTTCGCATGGGCTTCGTTCCCTTAGCATATTCTAATGTTATGATTCTGATTTTGGGTAGATTCGACGCTAGTTGAGGCTGATTCGAGAGGCAAGAGCATCACGAGCTAGAATTTGGACCGGATTGAGGTAAGTAATTATCGTAAATGTTGTCCTGAGGGTATGAAACCCCGGATTTCACATCGTTGTGCTATTTTGAGGTGACGCACACACTAGGCGACGAGCGTGGAGTCGTGCACCGTTGGGGATTGTGACTTGGTCCATCCCGTACGACCATTGAGTCGCGTATTTACTTGGAAACTATTTGATATTGTTATGTTTTGGAAAGTATTATTGTGTTTGGGGCTAAATGTCTGTCTGGGCCTTGTGCCGATTGTTTGGACCCTTAGGGGCTTTTACTACTGATTTCCTCACTGTTTTCGGTTTGATATTTACACTCAGTCATGCTATGTTCTTACTGTTTTCATAACTCGATTTTATTCACTCCTCTTGATTTCATAAATGATATTTTTAGCCGAGTACTTGTTTTACTGTCAGCCCGAGGGGCTTGAGTGAGTTTTGATTGAGTGAGGCCGAGGGCCTGTGTTGTGAGGATGTTATGGATCGGGCTGCACGCCGCAACATGTGGTACTGATTTGTGATATATGAGAGGCCGAAGGCCTGATTTATTATGCCACGAGGTAGCTTGTGATTGTTATGAGGCCGAGGGCCTGTTTGATTATGCCACGAGATGGCTTGTTATAGCGCTTGGGCTGTAGGAGCCCCTCGCGGAGTTTGTACACCCCCAGTGAGTGCGGGTACCCAGTGTGAGATGTGATATTTCCCAAGGGGCTGTTGTTGTTTCATGTTATTGCCCGAGAGGCTGGTTCTATTGATATTTTGCCCGAGGGGCAATTATGGTACATGTTTTTCCCGAGGGGCTATTTTACGTTTCTATACTTTTACTCACCGCTTTCATCACTCGTTTGAAACTATTGAAAAGTGTTTTAAAAGGTTTAACTAAACTGAGATGTTTACGAGTTTTACTGCTTTACTGCATTGTTCTGGACTTATACTGTTTTGATGTAGCATTATGCTGTGGTTTACGTATTTTCTTGCTGCTCAGCTGCCTTTTACTTTTATTACTTACTGAGTTGGCGTACTCACATTACTCCCTGCACCCTGTGTGCACATCCAGGAGTCTCGGGTCACGCTAGCGAGTACTGATTTGTCTTCTCGCAGGCTTTCGTAGGTGACTAGGTAGCTGCTTGGCGTTTGCAGCCTAGTGCTTCTCCTTCCTATCTTTATTCCGCTTTGTATTAGTTTGTTTCAGACTATGTTGTCTTTTTGTATTTCTAGACGAGTTGTAGTTGCTCAGGACTGGTGACACCCCGATGTCAGGCTGTGTTTTGTTTCCAAACTGTTCTAAGCTACCTTACGTTTCGGGTTTTTAGCTTATTAATGACTTTTAAATGACTTATGTTGATTGTTGGGTTGGTTTTGGGGTTTGTGTTGGCTGGCCTAGTTTTACGATAGGCGCCATCATGACCGAGTCCGTTTTAGGGTCATGACAAGTTGGTATCAGAGCTAGGTTACATAGGTCTCACGAGTCATGAGCAGGTTTAGTAGAGTCTCGCGGATCGGTACGGAGAGGTCTATATTTATCCTCGGGAGGCTGCAGAACCTTTAGGAAAACTTCACATTCTTGAATTCCTGTCATGCGAATCTGTTGATGCTAGTACTAAACTTCCGTTATTCTATTCTCTCACAGATGGTGGGGACACGCGCTACCGGTCAGGATGGACGACCACCAATACCACCAGCTGGGGCCACTAGAGGCCAAGGACGCGGTCGAGGCCGTGGTAGGGGCAGGGGTATAGCCCGCACAGCAGTTAGGGCAGCACCTGCAGATCCACCAGCACCCTTAGTTCAGGATCAGGTCCCAGTTGTGGACGCTCCAGCAGCACCAGCTCGGGCACCGGTCGTGCCTATTGTCATTTCGGGTCTTCAGGAGACCTTGGCTCAGATCTTGACCGTCTGCACTAGTCTTGCTCAGATGGTCGCAGTTTCTACTACCGCAGCCACTTCTTAGGCCAGGGGAGGCACTCAGACTCCCGACACCCGCACACCCGAGCAGGTTGTTCAGGGATTGCAGACACCGGAGGCACCACCAGCCCAGCCAGTGGCAGCTGCTCAGGGTTATGTAGCTCCGGTTATACCAGAGGACGAGCAGCGCAAATTGGAGAGGTTTAGTAGACTTCAGCCTCTGACTTTCAGCGGTACAGAGGGCGAGGATGCCCAGGGCTTCTTGGACAGATGTCAGAGGATTCTTTGCATCGCGGGTATTCTGGAGACCAGCGGGATCACATTACTACTTTTCAGTTTACTGGAGCTGCCTTCACTTGGTGGGAGGCTTATGAGAGGCGTAGGCCTGTTGGTGCGGCGCCCTTTACCAGGCAGCAGTTCTCCGTTCTCTTTTTGGAGAAGTATATGCCACAATCCCGCAGGGAGGAGCTGCACAGGCAGTTCAAGTAGTTGCGACAGGGAGATATGACTGTGACGCAGTATGAGATCAGGTTCTCAGAGTTAGCTCGTCATGCTATTTGGTTGGTTTCTACGGATAGAGAGAGGATCAGGAGGTTTGTTGATGGCCTCACATATCAGCTTCAGATTCTCATGACCAGGGAGAGGGTGTCAGGTGCTACTTTTGAGGAGGTTGTTGATATCACTCGCGAGATTGAGTCAGTTCGTCGCCAGGAGCGAGATGAGAGGGATGCCAAGAGGCATCGGGGATCTGGTAGTTTTGGGGTTCTCCTTTGAGAGGTCAGTTTGAGCATGGCAGAGGCCGTCCATTCAGGCATGCTCAGTCAGCCCACTTAGGTTATCGTGGGGCATCATCGGGCCATGGCTCTCACAGTTCTCAGTAGGGTCATTCCTCACTCATCGCCCTTCCTGAGCTCGCTTAGGTTATCGCGGGGCATCATCGGGCCATGGCTCTCACAGTTCTCAGCAGGGTCATTCCTCACTTAGT